GAACGTTTCAATTTGTTTTATCAATTTGAAAGAAACACTCTTATCCAATTGGGCTGCGATAACCGATCATCCCGAGGGTGTTTGCGCGTCTTCGAACACTTTGAATATAAAATTATGAGGTCTGTTCTTTCCGAAAAGAATAACTCACCTAATGATTATAGTCGTTCATCAAAAAGTAGATGCGACTATCGTTATGTAACATTAACGACGCCAAAATGCAAACGGTAAGTACTTCATTTTAAGTGAGCAACTGTAGTATTATCTGCTTCAAATAGTACACTTTCCAAGTTGATTATTCTCTATTTGCTTCTATTTGTCGGAAATTATCATACGTTTTTTTAATCAAAACTTAAATTTGTGTTTAACAGAGAGAATAAAGAACGCAGAAATAAGGAAATGAAAGTATCTATTCCATCATTAAAATTTCCCAAATCTGTCCCGGAGTGGACTAAAACACGATATGCCTCTAGGCAAAGTGACGTTTTTATTATAGCTGTTACCAGTGGCCTTATAGCATACACTCGCCTTCTTCGTGATATTTTAGAAACTTATGCCAGAAGTGAGGGACCTTATATTCTGGAAAAAATTCTGAAAGAACAACCGGAGAAGCGTGCTCTACTTCCTTCGAATTTCGCATTTCGACTTCCAGATGTCATTGAATATGTCATTTCTGATGAAAATTACATCGAACCCTCTTTAGTAAATTTCGTTGAAAATGGAGCACTTTATGCCATTGTCGCTACGCAAATGAATGAGAAATGTGAGTCATGCAGTCTTCGTATTCTTCGCAGTGACAGGCACGAAGGTCAGTTAGAATGCATAACTGAAATTGATTGATTTATATTTATCTGTTAATTTTCTCTTCTGCTTTTCAGAGCACCGTAATATGCCCAGACTTCGAGCCATAGAATTAATGGTGGAAGACTATGCTGAGTGTATTGTTAATTTAGCCCTAGAAAAAGAGGAACGTATTGAGAATACACCTCCAGAACCCCCTAAAACGCCTCTTTCAAAACCTTCAGATTCTCTTCACTCACCTGTATCAACTTATTCAGAAGTAATTTTGTCCCCACACATTCCCGTTTCAGTCTCCTCTCAACTCAAACGCCAACCAGAACCGCCAATTACGTCTCCAGAGCAAAAGCGAAGGAGGCATCATCATTCGCCATCATCTCGATCGAATAAACACGGTAGTTCGGCGAATTTTTCAAAGGAAAGAGTACGTCGTCGCAGACATTCTTCATTTCGTAGTGGGCGTGACATTGTTTATCAGAGGACAAAAAAATCGTCTCGACGACAAGATAATGTAAAGAAGATGGAAGAAGCAGACGAAATTCCCCCGCCTGTTGGCCCTCATTTTGTCGCACCGTCGAAACACTTATCATCTCTCCTGTATAAGCTGGCTGACTCACGGTTTCTCTCTAGAGGTGAATTATATGAAATTGAGGCATTTGTACATAAACGAATAATGATGTTGACTAATGGTAGGTTCTATAGGGTTATTCTTTCTCTTGAATAAGCTCCACGCTCTTTTATTGCCCCCAAATTCCCTCAAATCCTCCTGAGGGATATCTCACTTTATATGCAGGAGAAAAAGAGATTAAAATTTTTAATTTTGCGTAACTATCATTTTCCGGTAATTTCTTCGCCACTAACTTGAAGAAACTGGACGAGTATGTTTTGAAACGTCTTCTTTTTGTAATCATCATGGCGGAACTGAAGCATTCGACTAGTCTTAGTGCTAGATTTGTAACAGAAGGCGCCATTGCTGTTTGAGACATGTTCGATACGTGTTTTAGCCTTCGCCTGATACCACCAAAACTTATCACGTCGACATCACTCTGCTATGAGGCACGCGTGGTTGCGGTCGGGTTTATTTTTTCAAAATAATAATTCGGGCGTTGAAGGGTTAAGAATGCAATGTCATAAACACAGTTCGGAGAAACTTCTGAATACATGCTAGCATTTTCGTATAATTGAAATAAAGAAGTCAAAAGTAAAAGATGGAAGTAAAGAGTAAACCCCTCATGAACGCTCAGATAGTGATAAAGCTAGAATGGCGCATCCATGTTCCAGGATATCAACGGTACTGATGAACTCTCTTAAGGTTATTCATTCGGACTTTGAGTGCTCACTTTTATCAGAAAATGGAAGAGAAATAGTGGAAATATATGGTCTCTTTATTGGAGATTTTTGAAGAAGAAAATGTCTTGAAACAATGAAGCTGCCTCCATCAAACCCTACGCGTTTCGGAGGCGTTCGTGCGCGAGATTTTTACGTTAACTTCGTATAGTTGGACTTTCTGCTACAACTAAAGTTTGAGCGCAAGTTTGCACCATTTTTTTGAGCTTAAGGCAGTGATGCAAATTTGTAGTCATTCGAAGCTATATTTTAAAAAATTAATGGCGTTAGTAACCACTGGCACGTACCCGAAATCATCACATGTTATTAACAACAAAAACACTGACTACTTCATCTTTTGTCACGACTTTGACTTTAGTTGACCGTCGCATTTATCAAATTCATGCACTTGGAGTAACACAAACTGGAATATGTTACTACACGATCATTCCTCTTAAGAATCTGGATTTGATTTGCAGCTCATTTAGTTCTCTCTTGCCTTCTTTTTATTTCCGTTAGTAAATCTACTTAACTTTTAGATAGAATATCCAGTGTACTCCACGTAAATTTTTTATTTTTAGGTGGTCAAATTTTTTTGACCAACTGTATTTAAGTATGGATCTCTTCTGTAATTGAAGTTCCATTCTGTAACTATTTGTTTTCCCTATTGGCTTAACAGTTTAATTTGTCGACTGATGTTTACACCTGGTGTTCTCCGTGTTTGTTACAAGTAATAACGTGACCTTGAAGATTGCCAATTGGAATTCTAGGATCAATGATTTAATTGCTGCTTCGATGTCAATTAGTCACACGTAGAAAGAGATAGAAAGTTGAACTTAAATTTATTTGTTTATATCAAATGGCAGGCGTCTTGATGGTTATCATTAGCCATTTAGTTGACTTCAGGCTTCACAGAGGGGAAGGAACATTAAAATGAAATAAAGTCGAGAGGAGGGTTGGGAGAACAGAAGAGTGTTTCAAAGATGTATGAGACAAACACAAAGGTAGAAAAAAGGTGATAAGAGTACTGTGGAAATAGTCGAATATGGCATAGAGTGAAGTGGTGGTAGTTTGAAGTGAGAAGTCAACTGCCAATTAATAGGTTTTTTGCCGTATGAATATACGTTACCCAGGGTGCACCACGTGGAGGTAAGTTTATCGCACACCCCTGTTGATCTTAAATATATTCCTGCCTTTATAGCACCAATCAAATACTCTTACGGTGCTTATTTCTACGGACGTTTCATCTTAATGTGAGATCTATTTGGGCTCCTGAATTGGGTTTTATGAGATGGTTTAAGCTTATGAAGTTGAATTCCAATGACATATTCATTTTCTTTTAGAAATGAAAAGGAGCTGAACGCGTAGCTTACAGATATCATCGCTAAAAGTAACCAAGAATGGAACTTTTTTAATGTGACAGACTTTCATTATTTTATGACATTTTAAATGCTGTGGAATTTGTAATATTTATATTTTACTGGAGTAGAATAAAGAAATTACTTCGCGCTGTGGTTATGCTTCAGGCTTGTTTTTGTGACTTGGTGGGTATTTGGTACAGTGTAAGTGCCATTAATTTTGTGTCTGATCTAAGTGCTATATTTTAGTCTGGTGTGCATACTGGGCAACGTATCCTCATGCGGCAAAAAAGTCTATAAACCGGCAGTCGACTTCTGACCTCAAACTACCGTGATCCCACTGTATGTCTTATTCGATCACTTCCACCATACTTATCCTACTTTTTCTCTGCCTTTGTGTCTGTCCGTCTTTTTAACATCTTTAAATCGTTCTTCTGTCCTCCCTCCCAACTTTTTCTCATTTTGATGTTCCGCCTTCCCTCTGTGATGCCCGAAGTCAGCTAAAGGGCAAATGATAAGTGTCATAAAGCCCGCCATTTGAAATAAATATTTTAGTCTAGGATGACGTGTCAACCCCACTAATCAGCCCCAACATTCCAAGTCAGTTAAAAAAATTTTCATCTGTTAGTGACTTGTTCGTTGATACTGCCCGTATTAAAACACGACTTGGTCGTAAAATTGCGAAAATCTTTATATATATGGCATTTACAGGAGGCAAATAGATTCATTGCTGGAAAGTTGGGATTTCAACTGCAATTCCGTTGTTCCTGTTCGTTTTAAGGATATATTCGAGTGGAGGCGTGGGTCGGAATTCATTCTGTTTTCTTAATCTGGATATTTGTGAAATTTTAATATTCAAATGTCATCGCTACTATATGGTCTTGGAATGTTAGAAAAAGTCGAACTGTCCATTATTGAAATTAGAGAGAGGAAGCTAGTTTGGAAACGGCCTGGTTTCAATTATTTGACTTAGACGTTGCTAAGGTGGATTTGAATTTGCAGCAACGATTGGCGTCAAAGTTCGGCCAAGACAACAAGAGCAAGATGAGGAAATTGGATTGATTAGACATTTATTGGCCGGGGGGATCGTAAGTGGACATAAATGCGGAAATTTTATAACACTACAGACTGATTTACGTCAGTAACAGTCAGGACGATTGAGAATAGCCAAGGTCTCCTCTTCAGTCTGTAGTTTGTCCAGCCGCGAAGCCCAAGCCAACTGGGTTAAGTTCAAGTTGTCCAATATGTTAGCTAGGGCACCTTATCAATATTCTAGACTTGCTAAAATTATACAAATCCACGCCATTCACTGAACCAGATCGATTTGCTGGCATTACCACCTGACCAGTGTTATGCAAGTGAATTGAAACGAAATTTCTAACATGCCTCTTAGTATAACTTGATAGTACTCTTGCAAAATTTTGTTACTGTGGTTCTTGGCGTGTCGGTTGAATTTTAATTTAAAGTAATTCATCAAATTTTGTCAACGGCACTATCGATCAAATGGCAGGCTTTATGTTATTTATCATGGGGTGTGGGATAGACTTACCTCCTCGTGGTGCACCCTGGGCAAAAAAGTCTATTAACTGGCGGTTGACTTCTCACTTCAAACTACCATCATCCCCACTGTATCCCTACCACAGTACTCAGCCCGACTGCTTGTCATATTCGACCCCTTCCACAGTACTCACATCACCTTTTTTCTACCTTTGTGTCTGTATCTTCTACATCTTCCCCACTCTATGCCATATTCGACTATTTCCACAGTACTCACCTTACTGTATGTCATATTCGACTACTTCCACAGTACTCATCTTACCCTTTCTGAGCCTTTGTGTCTGTCTGTTTCTTTTGCATCCGTGAATCACTCTTCTATTCCCCCTCCCGAATTCTCCTCATTTGATGTTCCTCCTCCCCTCTGTGAAGCCTGAAGTCAACTAAAGGGCTAATGTAACTATCAAGACGCCTGCCATTTGTTATAAATAAATGTTATTTATCATTGACATCATGAATACGGCCATTATTCCCATACTCGCTCGCCAGTTTGGTGAATGTATATAACACATGATCATCCACATACAATGGAATATGCAAGCATTGGTGCACCTACACTAGGAAGGTATATTCCAGCCAGAGGGGTTGCGTGAACGAGCTAATTTGCTCCAACAAAGGACGACTAGTAAGAGAACTGACTGTTTAAAGTGATTTGCAGCGATTTCAACTTGAAACAATGTTCCATATTCCACCTATAACGGAGTGAAATGCTCAGGAATCAAATGCGCCCTGTTTTAATTAAAATATCTTTGAAATTGTTCTTTTAATTAAAGCACAAGCCGAAATTCCACTCTCATGTCCTGATATTTATTCTTTCAGGGATTCGTTGAAATTAGGTGATTCGTTTTTTGCTTACATATAGGCCACTTAACTACCTAAAGCGAATTCATTAATTTGCAAACAGAACTATATCTTCATCCTTGATTTATGGTGAAGATCTAATGACTTCCAAGATATCTCCTGCGTATTTGTTCAAGTGAATTGGGTAGTAAAGGTACTCATGATCTTGACGCTAGAATAGAATTTAAACAAATTAGTTCGTTTATCCGATTACTTATCTTTGTGTCAACAGATGAAAATGCGCTTTTGCCAGAATTACTGGCTAATTAAGTATCTAACCAGACACAAAACCCAGTTAATACATCTACGAATTAACTTCAATGATAATGTGTAGGGAAAAATTTTATTCAAATGCAAAATTCCGCCCTTTTATCATCAATGTTCGAGTAGCTCTTTACCTTCTATTAATGGAAAATACCACTAATTACGTTATTTCTGAGGCGTTAGAAAGAGGCTAAGCAAACAACTTCGACAGGCCATGGAGAACCGCTTGCCCTAAAAACAGTTCGCTAGTGGGTGTCTAATATCTATCGTCTAACAGACTTCTATGCACATGGTACCACTCAACGGCCCCTTTAATATTACCTTCATCCCACTTCCATTCACCTCATTCTTACAGACCCTTCCACTCCTTCATTCTTTCAAATGATCTATCTTATGTTTTTTTGCAATACCTTAAAAATTGTATTCATACGTATTGGAGATTAATAAAGGCAACGTACTTTTCTAATTAACCGAATTGACTTCAATCTTTTAAAGTAAGAACAGAACAGATCACATTAGCATGGTAAAAAGTTAATTTGGTTAGAAGAAACTAAAATGCAAAGATCCCGTTAGCAAAAGTAATTATAAAAATTAACCACAATTCGGAATATTCATACCGTCTATAGTATAGAACTCTGGTCTGAAACACAAATCAGAGCATTTCCGGTTGGTTTAAACTGGATTAAATGGTTATGTGCAAGAATCGATTTTGCACATTTTTACTTCTTAATATATTAAAAAAAAACGATTATTATGGCCGATAACAGCGAGTTGGAAAGCATTTTGCTTGAATCATCAGGACGATTCAAACCCTTAGTAAAATTGCCAATATTACCCAAAAATTCAATTTCGAAAATTTTGGATAATATATATTTATGAATATGGACTTGCTAACAAGTTAATTGAACATGGTAGCATTATTACTGATTGATACTTCAGTAGTAGCTTGAGAAACAACAGTTTTTAATATTTGGGATTTTCTAGTTTAAACAGAGTGCCAACTTAGTTCGTTGGAAAGATTAGCCAAATTAAAGTTTCACTGTGTTGTCAGATAACTTTAAAAAATTGAGCAAGGAGTTGGCTCAGTAGGATAGAGGATTTGGTAGGGCTATTCGTTCTCTCTCATCTAAAAAAGTTAACGAATTAAACTTTGTAGCAGGATAATTGTTCTATCTTACCTATGAATCTTCGAGTCTTTTCAGTTTTCTCCAAAAATCTCTCCTTCAATCGGCCAAAGAAATTCGGTCGTATTTCTAGATTATGAATGCTGGAAAAGAAAACACAAAGTTATCGCATCGAAAAAAAACTCGAAGACACAACTTTGAAGATCATCGACAGGAGCTCACTCGTATGCATTTTCGTCAAATTGAACATCGTCCAAATCTCGTGAGACGCTATCTAAGAAGTCATTTAAATTGTCATTTGCAGCTCCATCTATGGTTCGAACAGCGAAAGTGGCCCTCTTAAGATCCTCCGGGTAAGTAGTTTCATCCATCAGGACAATTCGGTGACTGACGTCCAGATTGTAGTCCAGGATTTCTGATGTCTCGAAATCCTCGTAGTCCTCACCAAAAGGATTCATCACACACAGAGCAACCTGTTGAATATGGATCAAATTGGTCAACAAGGATTCGTTTTACCCCCATTTAATTTTATTATGAAACATTTTGTTAATTTCAGTTTAATCTTTTAATGCCCCCTATTTTATCCTACTGAAAAAGTCAACCTTCAATTTAATCGAGAGATTCAAGAACCAGCATAAAGTGCAAAGTGGGTGATATTCTAAGAGAGGCTGATTTAACAGAATTTTGAATCACAATGCTTAAATGGGTCAAGAAGGCTTTCATTTGTGAAGGCTCGATTCAATATTACCCTGGCACAAATGGTGCAATCCTAAGAGTTTGAGAAACCACTATTAATCTAAATAACTTATCTTTTTAAAATAATTTTAAGCAAAAGCAGGCATAATGTTGACACTACTGAAATTTTATCTGACTCCTCTCGAACTTTATATTGGACATTGACACAATTGTTCAAGGAAGTCCCATGCTCTCTCCAACAGCCTGGAAGGTGCGGACGTACTACCTACTACGTAGAAGCAAGTGCAGCGTTAGGGCTGCTACTTCTCAGTCAGTTAGTGTAGACATAATTTAATGGCTAAGATTTGCATCAGTGGCCATGAGTTGTGTTAAGCCTCCTTCGTTTCACCTAACCAGTCTTCTTGTTACTATTGAGGTAACTTGGCTAATTTGGAAAGCTTTCTTCCCCTAGGCGATTTTGACAGAAGATTGTTGTGGTTTGGCCAAGACTTGTTTACGCTTCAAAGTCAACAAGTCTAGAGTCATATCATCTGCTATAACTTTACTCAAACTTTAATCAACCCTAACTTAAATAAATGCAATAGATTTTGCAGACTAAGAAGCAGATTTCATGAACTCTCAATGTCGGGCGAGAATATTCACACAGACTTGGGTTCCAGACATTCCACATTGTCCTTTTTTGTCCCACCCTAAAAGCAAGAATTTATTGGCTTAAAGTAAAATTAAGTAGAGGGTTTGAACACAATTAAGAGATACATGATAAATGCAGATATATTAATATTGATGAATTCGGTTGTTTAGTTTCTCCAATGTTACTGCCAACCAATTACATGCAAAATAGGCTCAGTGTCATCGTTCTGAACTCCTCTTCACATTCGGAGAGGGACTGGAGACGTTTCTTACCAAAATATTACTATCACCAACAAAGAAATCGGTAGAACACCCAAATTCATATACCAGTCTCAGGGTGTAGGCTTTTTCTCTGCGCATTCCGCAGGTTGTGTTTGTGTCTCTTTCCACTAACTTCGGCGCTAAAGACCAGTCACTGGTGCGGTGAAGGTTGACCGTTTTATTAAGATAATAATAGGTTTATTTACTTCAAGTTTCCATCAAGTAACTAGGTCAAATTTGAGCCACTACCTAAAGAATAATCGTGACTACGGGCGATTTTGACTCAGTTCGGCGATGACAAAATGATAATTTATTTTACGCAAGGCTTACCTTCAACCAACCAATGAGAAAGACGAAGTAGAATATGGAGAATATAGGTAGTGACATATTTGGTGTGACAACAGTTTCGTTAACTATTCGTTCTGTGTACTGCGTTGCGAGGATCTGGCAGAGGAAATAACTGTAGACAGCGATTACTGCAACCTGGCGAAATGAAATACTGTCTGAGTTCATCTTATAAGGGGAATAAGGCTTAGGGTATGTGAAGTGTCCTTACTTGGGTATACACAAGGGGCATTGCTAAGCTGCTAAAAGTTTTTAGCTGTTGCAGGGAATGCCGGTATCTTCCTATTTCCTTTAGAGAGATAAGCAAAAGTGTATCATGCAATTAAAAGCACGTTGTAAGAAACCGTCTAACATCTTAATTTACATTACAGAGAGCCACCATAATCTTTGAATCCGGAATACAGCCATGGAGAGCAGCCTTTTGAACTACTCGGACAGCCCATTGGATTGGGACCCAATACTCAGGAAGATAGCGTTTACGAGTTCTGCAGAAGAATCTTTGAGCTATATTCTCGAAAGCTCGGATTTCTTCTTCCGTTATAATTTTTCCAAATGTTTGTTGAACCTCTGTAAATGAATATCACTTTGAATCCTATGCTACTGAAAGCTTAGTAAAGCCACTAATAACTATAGCCCGTACTCTTGTCATTGTTAAAGCTTTTTAAAGTCTCACGAATTCCATCGTCGTCAGGTGCCTCGAAGAGGTCATTATCTGCGTTACTGAAGCTAAAAAATCCGGATGCTGTTGATGAATGTCTCTGCTGCTCCGTTCCGTGGTCTGATGAGGTTGGACAAGGTAGCAGAGGTGAAGTGGCACGCTTCCTTGTGCCCTCTTTGGGTTTAATCGGATCAGATTCGTTCTATGGAATTCGAAAATGAATGAAGTACAGATTATCTAACTAGCGGAACTTAGATAAGTTTTCTGTACTTCGTTTTTAGACAATTAGAGATGTTCCTACTCATATATTTCCCACAAATTTTGAATAAGGATTCTTAAATATACTTTCATTTCATTCGTACTACTCCAAAAGCCGTAAATTTGATTTTTCAACATTCTTGTCTGTCCTTTAGGGTTAGTTAATGCACGCTGATCTCAACCTTGTGCATTCTTCAGCTTATTTCAAGATCTTCCCCCATTTCCGATGACTGGATTTCTTAAGACTTTGCTTAGGGCACACTGCTTAAAATTGCTTTTCAAAAGACTTACATACTACTGGGTCTGTGGTGTACATGCATAAAGTGTAACCAGTCTTTCGATAGCAAGATCAGTGAGAGTACCAACATTAACTTCAAATCTCATGGTATCCTTGGTCAAAATCATTTAATAAAAGTAAGCTTGAATGGTTGCCTCCATGAAACAATGGTTTGCAAGTATGCTCAATTCTCTATGCTAATAGGAGATGACCTTGAATTGGATTGATGCTATTTACTCCAGATTGAATTAAAGGTGAAAATTGATTTGCTGCACTCATACTGGATGGCCAAGTAGCACTATAGAGCGCCACTGAATGTAACCCGCATTTAGGTACTCCGTTCCAAATCAAAATCAAGGAGCATGATTTACCATCCCATTCAAGACACCTACAGATTCAAAGTGGGCAGATGTTTTGACCTGCGAATTGTCAAATGCGCTCTTTGATCTCCAGGTCATCAGCACACATCGATCAATATTAGAAACGGTAGAGTCGGTCATCAGTTTGAAATCCATTACAAGATATTAATTAATCATTAATCATCTTTAAACTCTGTTATCAAGTTTTAATGAAAGATCCACTGTGAAATTAATTCCTCAGTTAGTCTGGAAAAATCTTTGTTCATAATATTGTAAACTTACAGGAAACACATTCTGTGTATTTCGCCGAATTCGTTGACGCTTTCGACTCCCAAGGCCAGTGGATTGTTGTCGAAATCTGTTTGAAATTCGGTCACTAATCGTTCGCAACATAAGAATCCACGAGAGATTGAGATAACGCATCACAGTCATACGAGCTCTCAAGGCAACCCTAGGATCAGCACAATTCACCGCTGACTACCGTAATTAAAAATAAATAGCTAATCTACTGATTGAATGTAAGTAGGCACAAATATATAAACTCACCGCAACTTGATAGCTAATGTCATTCAACCAAGGAATATACATATAGGTATCAAACCATCGCCCAATCACACCAGAAACAAAGAATCCAAGGAGAAAGGAAACAGGAACTTGACCACGGATTTTTTCACAGTAATCCACGACTATATTAAAGAGTCTGTTCAAAGAAACACGCTGTATATATTGATATATATTTATATTTTAGTGTAGATAGGGTTAGAAAATAAGACAATAGTTAAATCTTACGTTCTTTGAGAGCTATTTAGAGCTACCCAGTAAATGAGTTGGAGGACGTAATGAATAGACAGATATCCGAGTAAATCCACCCAGACCAATTTATAGAGACTTCCTTTCCATCTAAATTCAACAAAAGTGCGTTTGAGTTAGTTAGATATGCGTCCTTATAATACCTTAATCAAAGCTTGTTTCCGCGAATTTCTTACCAAAATGTTAATTAACTACTTCAATAATAAAGGAATGATTGAAGTTTTATAGAGTTAATTGCGGTTGTTTTGGGGTATTTACACAACATCTAACGTAGCGCATCCCATAGGTAAAGAAGACTAGTGATCAATTATGAATGGAAGAACTTCTTAACACTAAACCGCTTTTTAAAAGAATGCCTTGACTTTGGCTGAACCCTAATTTTTACAGCTGATACCTCGTAAGATGCAACAAAATCGGGCGACATAACATGCCACGGAATGGAGTCCGCAAATGAGCAAACTCTGGACATAATCTTACAAATGAATCTGTGAGTCAACTCATGGAATGTAGGGTTTGCCACAGTTCTTTTTATGGATTATAATTAATAGGGAAACTTAAATAAGAAAAGTTGATCCTATGCCCAGCTGTTTTATAACTTTGGGAATTGATTCAGTTTATTTAGTTTCTTGAAATACGTATGTAAAGATATTGTCTTTGTCAAGGCAATACTGACTCGAATATTGACCTGCTACTGAATTCGCTGCGCAGTCTTCAAGATATACGAACTCTAACTAAATCTCACAACCTTAAGATCAGTAATTCTGTATATAATGGATTGAGATGACTATAATAATATATGAGGCTTAACGTATTCTCATGAGAATCAAAATTTGTTCGCAAATTCACAAAAGTTAAATAAAACAGAGTTCCTCACACATTGAAAAGAACATATTACCCTAGTCGGGTACGCAAACTCACAACGCGGTGTTTGAATTTTCACAAATATTCAATCCTCCCATCTACAATAGACTATTTGTTTAATCAAGTTTGATGTTTAGCTAGGCTACATTCGGTCCCGCAATATTCAAGACCATTAAAATTGAGTAGCCATCAGCAGTATAAAGGAAAACTGAATCGATGATTCAAGAATAGCATTCATAAATTTCAACTTAGATGTCGAACCTTCGGGATGCATTCATTTCACGATTAGTAATCAAATTGGCTCAAGACCTGATAATAAAGGGATAATTAAAACAGAATTCTCTGACGAGATAATGTGCAGTGGTTAAAAAAATAAATATTCATATCCTGGCGAACAAAGGTACAAAAATATGCCAAATTATGAGATTTTGAAATCATGTTTGAAAGAGTAATGTTATGTTGGAACATTATTTGGTTACTGGCCTTTAAAGGCAGTAATAAACACCTAATTAAGAAACTATGAATGAATATGTTATAAAATTCAAAATTTAAATGACACCACATGTGCTCCAGTCGCAATCAAAAAGGTCCTTTTTAACAGAGTAACCTATCTCGATCCAGGATAAATGCTTAAGCTATCTTACCTTCCAAAGCCAGTCAGAAATTTATGATAAAACTGATGTCAAACGCACCTTAAAGGCTCCCTATCAAATAAACGTGGAAGTAAATGCGGGATTAATTCAAAATCTTTAGCATGAGATTTATCAAAGGAGTATAAATTCGGTCTCCTAATATAATTATGCCCCAATGGAATTTGTGTACCCATCAGTTACCTACGCATGAATAGAGACGAACTGACTAATTTCAATATATGAGCATCTATAAGATCCTAGAGGCAAGTAATGCTCTGTTTAATTGGTTAGATAGAAACAGTATGAGGACAGAAATCGATTAAGTGATCCTCGTTATTCATTGAGCCACTATGATCAACATTATTTTCCACTATTTTCAGTTTCTTTTCTATTATAAAAAACACGTAACCGCAAACTGCCCAGACTCTCGAGGCAATTAGGAGTGTACAACGCTCTCATGCCTGGGCAAAGAAAATGTATGAACCCCCTCAGACTTACTTGAAGTTGCGGCTGTGCTACTTGAGGTGTAGTGAACAAGTGCAGTCGTGAGCGAAATGACCTCTCAGTCAGTCACAATTCAGTAGTCCCTACATTGTTTGGCCAACCCATCATGATATTTTAATGACTGAGCTCTGTGACTGGACGCCACTCCAAAATAAACGCGTTCCATGTCATGTGACTGTTTCCTCCACTTTGATTGAGAGGAACTTGCCGTAGGGATCACTGAGCGCAAGCCAAGGATTATTAGCGCAGCAATCCTCTACAGCCCACTATTGAGAAAGTAGCATGGAATGGGGAACAAGGTGACTGAGTGCAAATGACGATGAAGGGTCGGTACAGAAGTGACTTAGTTCAGGTCGACTTGAAGGTCAGTTAAAGCTGAATACTGAGTAGCATACAATGATAATCCAAGTAAGTTTCGAATACGCAGTTGAATGCTAATGTACAATTTTGGTTTGAAGCAAACTATCCAATAAGATATACTCTTCGTGTGTTTCAATTTCCCAAAAAATGTTCAATTTCTAATGACAATTAGTTAAAACATTAATTAAATAACACTATTAGAATAAAATTTGCATGATTTAAATCATTTGCTCACCGGGCTAATACGCTCAGAAAGACGAAGATTTGGCTACCATTTAAAATTTCATCCGAATAGGAAACGGACATGGCATGAAGATAATGGGTAAAAACGTGAGGGGAGTAAATAAAGCGAAACCTCTGCTGCCAAAGGAGTAAATAAACCCCAAATGAAGTGCACCAAGATGAAATTGCAAGGGTGTGCTTACTAGCCTACACACATTCAATTTTTAGTGGTCAGAGTAATGTCCAGTGCTAACCAATGCACTGATTGTTGCAATTGTGGGAGAGGTACACATAAAGTGAGTAAATTTAAGATGCACTTAAAACTAAAACAGAGGAACAGGAAAGTGGAAATTTGTTGTTGTTTTAGCAGGTCTAAGGCACCCCGACGTTCATTTTTATCGAAAAATGTGGTATTGGCTCAGTTAAATAGTCTTAAATCGTTTTTGCTTTCGCGTTACCTGTTGTTGGCGCTATCAATACCATTACAAAGTTCGCAAACTTAATTATGAGTAGTAATTAACAGAAGACAGAGGACCAGAAAGACTCTTTGAACATCATCCAGATTTCAAAAAGTGTTTTGTTTCATTTGATATTTTTGACTCAAGCTGAACAAAATTTACTAAATGGGCCATTCACATGTCCAAAATTCAAATGTAGAAATTCGAGCCCTGAATGGGATAATATGTTCTACGCTTATTGGCTGAGTTTATTCCACCAACAAGAATCGGATTTGAATTTTTCTACCAGTAATAGAGAACGCAAATTTGGTATAGCAAAGTTGAGAAAGCTAAAAGTTAAGTTGGAAGTAGAAAGGAAACTTCCTGTTTAAATAATTAAGGAAGTTAAGGTCTTAAACATATTCCGCAAATGTGATAATTAGAATGAGGCTATCAGTTTCTTGATCAGTTGAACTTTGTCTTCCACTAAGAGATGCAACATTTTCCAAGTCAATATCCTAACATTAGCCTGGCAAACATTATAGTATTACTCTGGAAATGCCATCTTACTATCATAGTCTAATCACCGTGTTACCTATTCACACTTGTCTCGCTTTTGAGGTACGCTTTATCTTGCTGCAGCAATGACTTCTGATTATTTGGTTCTCGTACCCTATACACGGATATTTTTCTTCTTGAATGCTGTATATAACGGACGAATTCATGTAAGACGTGTTCTCTCAGTCTAGGCATTTATTTTACTGTACTTAGACACAATCGACCCCAGCACCAGCTATTCTACGTTTTTTGGAAGGGGTGTGCGTTAGACTTTCCTCCACGTGGTGCACCCTGGACAGCGTATACTCATACGGCAAAAAAGTCTGCAAACCGGCAGTTGACTTCTCACTTCAAACCACAATGGCCCCACTGTATGCCATATTCGACCACTTCCACAGTACTCAACTCTCATTTTTCTCTACCTTTGTGCCCGTCTGTCTCTTTTACAACTTTGAATCTCTCTTCTGCTCCCTCCTCTCAAATTTTTTTGTCACTTTGATGTTCATCCCCTATGTGAAGTCCGGAGTCAGCTAAAGGGCTAACGATAATTATCATAACGCCTGTCAATTGATATAAATAAATGATGTTTGATGAGGAC